AAGAGTCAACAACAATAGTTAATGAAAAGTGATAATTAAATTGTTCATTTGAAGATTTGGGAGGAAATATAGGTTCAAGAAATAGTTTATGGGTTCTTTATTATGCCTCATAAATATCTTGAAATAGATGTTGAACTTGGATTTCTTGTTTCCATGAATATATGTATTGATGAGTTAGCTTCAGTTTACGTGTTTTTGATCACAGGTCTGGGTTGGTAGAATTTGCGGAAAGAAAAAGAAGAAGAAATGAAAGGGGAAGAAGCCACCATTTGTTTGATTGAAGTTAAAGAAGAAGACGATGAATAGTGGAGGAGAGAGAAGGAGTGGGCTAAATTAAATAAGGAACAAAAAGAAAATGTTGGGGGATTGGGCTAATCACGTGAGAAATGGATGTATATGGGATGTTGGTCCCACTTGTAAGGAAGATGAGAGAGAAGGAAGGGTAATTGGATTGTAGAGGGAAAATGAAGTTCTTGATTGAATTTTGTGGTTTAATTTAAAGAATTGTAGATTTAAATTGGAATTAAGTATGTATTGAAATTTGGTTGGTTATTATTTGAGGACAAACATAAATTGGAACAGCGTACCAACCAAATTCATCTCGTTCGTAGTTATTTTACTAAATACTTTTTAAGATATTTATTATAAAACTTCAAGAAAATATATATTACGTATGTTTTATCATTTTTGCTGAGAAATTCGATTTGCTGAGAATTTAGAAATGTTTTTGAGAATTTATGAATGTTTCAGAGAACTTAGAAATGCTTTATGATTTTTTGAGAAACTGCTGTATTTAATGAATATGGTTAGAAACAAATATATTTAGCAGTGATTTGAGAAAGCAAATTTCTTATAAAGAAGAAAAGAAGAATTTTAGAGCTGTTTATGAACTTGAGAACTTTATGCAAGAAATAATTTTCAAACCACCATGTTATTGTATCCAGGTAATTACCTGTATACTATGTGAATATGTTTCTATAGTATACCCAGTAGAAGGTCTTTGGGACTATTTGACTCTGCGCGTTGAGAGAATTATTTTACTGTGTATATTGAGATTACTCTATGCCAGTAAACCAGAAATTTATTCTGCTGTACGTATTGAAATTACTCTACGTCAGTAGACTAGAATAGAATGTGGATACATATGTGGTGTGATTACGCTTGTTTACATGCGTAAAAAGAAGGTTTTAGATGCTGTTTTTACTATGTTTCAGCTTTGTTTCGGATTTTTCTCGGTCGTTTGAGTTCCAATTCTTGCAAAATTCATATATTATGGTTTGTGGTTGGCTTATATTGTATTTATGACATTTTAGGACCATTTGGGAGTGCAAATTAATCAAAAGAAGCAAAAAGTCGGAAATACCTACATGGGAGGCGCCAGGCGCCTGGGAAGGCTGCAGAAAACAGTTTTTCTTCCAACTTTGCCCTTAATGAAACGCGTCTTCCCATGCGTTTTGGTGGTTCCAACCGATGCATACGTGTAGAAGAAGTGTTCCACTATCAGCTTGAGCACGATTTGGTCAGTCAAAAGAGTTGGAAA